CTTAGGAAAATAAAACATATGAATGAAATAAAGCAAAAAAGGAAGAAGGGGAAGATAGTGTCTAAGGGCTGCTGGGAAAAGTGTCAAGTTCAAATCTTTTCATTTGTCTCCCCTTGCTTAGTAAAATAACAGCCAGCATTCCTATTGATGATTGTTATTGCAATATTTTGTTAAATGTGTTAAGCTCAAATAGTTAACGATGTGACAGGAGGATTTCTACGGATATTTTATTGTCCTAGAACTCGAAATGATCTTATTCAATAAGTAACTGAAAAATGAAGATTCATCAAAAATCACAAATAGGGAAACCGAGAAATTTTCGCGCGTTAAAACCACTACGAATAATTCGGAATCTCAGCTCATCAGACAGTAATTAAAACAGTGAATTTACTTACTTTCGTTTTTTTTTTCATTCATTCATTTATAAATAAAACAAAAAGAAATCTGTTTCAGTGAAATGAAAAATTGTCAATTTCAAATCTTTTTATTTGCACCCACTTTGCAATATTTTGTAAAAGTTGTTAAGCTCAAATTGTTAACGATGCAACAGGGGAATTTCTATGGATATTTTATTGTCGTAGAACTCGCCATGAGTTTACTCAATCATTAACTTAAAAATTAAGATTCATTAGAAAATCCAAATAGGAAAACCGTGAAATTATCACGGGTTTACTACTACTACTACTACTACTACTACTACTACTACTACTACTACTAATAATAATAATAATAATAACAATAACAATAACAATAACAATAATAATAATAATAATAATCCCTGTTGTAGTTGGAGCTCTAGGGCTGGTTGGAAAAGATTACAGTAGACTAATTGAAGGGATTCCTGGAAGTCCATGCCTCAAGGAGATACAGAAAATTGTTCTGACAAGCACAGCCCACACCTTACGAAGGGCTTTATCTATGTAATCTTTTTTTTTTTTTTTTTTTTTGTCAGTGGAAAGTGTCATGACGCCATTTCTAACCTTAGGTCCCTGGGCGGGACCCGGAAAGAAATGTGTAAACGCCAGAAATCAAAGAAAATAAAAAGAATAATAATAAGAAGAAGAAGAAGAAGAAGAAAAAAAAAGATGAAGGGGTGGAGGATAATACAGCAATTGTAATAATGACTACATTTGTATATCTTTGGATCCAAGTATTAATAATACAGCTATTTATGATTTTATTCAAATTTGATTGACGGACCAATCAAATTGAATTCCTTGCATTACAGAATGAACTTCGACGAATCGTAATTCTTCTTTCAATGTGGCATGTCTCTTCAGGACCTTGGCGGTGATGTCTCTACATAATTTCCTGTCTTTGTAACTCTTTTCTCCTTTTGTTATTTCTCCTAAACCCAGTTCTGCCATTCCATTTTTAGAGGAGCTCATTAGGCAGGTTGCGTTCTATTTTCCTCTGTCCTTCTGAGTCGTAGAAGGAGGAGGGAAAACAGTTTTGCTGTTGACGAGAGCCTTAGACAAGTTTTAGGGAAATTTAACAATAGTCAAAAATAAATAATTAATTAAAAAAAAAAAAAAACACTTGATTTTATTTAACTTTCTAAAATATGAATCAATTAAATAATTGATTCATCGATACAGTAATTAAACGCAGTATATAATAACGATGTCACAAGGATTATAATAATTTAAAATAATATATGTTTATAAATAACTTACGGCACATGTTTTTAAATAACATATCCCTTCAATACACTTCATATATTCCTTTTCTTTATGATCTGTGACTTACCATGGTTCCTTTGGAAAAATAGTGGAGTGGTTTCCCGTTAAGATAATTTTTTATGTCTTTTTTTTTCATGGGAAATATAAAATGAAACCATAAACATTTAAGGATGATATGAGAGGAAATATAGTGAATAAATGATGAAATAATATTTTGCATCCGAACACTTATTCTTTCAATATTAATCTCATATTTTACACACACACACACACACACGCACACACACACACACACACACACACACACATATATATATATATATATATATATATGTATGTATGTATATATGTATGTATGTAGATATGGGGAAATATAGTTTTAAGGTGTGCTAATTTATGGGATAAAGTGCTCAATATCAGAGATAGAGCGTATGTAAATATATAAGTGAACATTGAAGTCAACACTCAGAGGCGACAGGCTGTTTCAAGCTAGACGCAATCGTCAGGCAGTATATATATATATATATATATATATATATATATATATATATATACTTTGTAGATCACATATATATATATATATATATATATATATACTTTGTAGATCACATTGAGTGTCAGCATGCAATGTTGATTCCTATCGTCACACTTTCCCGCTATGAACCGTGCAAAATTATATTGAATAACAAAGGGGAGAAAAACTCCTACGTTACACTAGGGTTTCGTCTCTAGAAAGGACTTCTTCAGGCTAATAATTGAACGAAAAGCTTAAACTCATATTTTTTTTCATTTTGTTATTCACTTACCAACAATTAACAATTTATTTTTCATTTTTTTATTCAATTAGCAACAATTAACAGCAATTATTTTTTTTCCATTTTTCATTCAATTAGCAACAAATATTTTTTTCATTCTTATTCAATTAGCATCATTTAACAACTATTATTTTTTTCATTTTTTTATTCAATTAGCAACAATGATTTTTTCATTTTTATTCAATAAGCAACAATTAACTACAATTAATTTTTTTTCATTTTTATACAATTAGCAACAATTAACAACAATTAATGTTTTTCATTTTTATACAATTAGCAACAATTAACAATAATTATTTTTTTTAATTTTTATTCAATTAGCAACAATTAATTACAATTATTTTTTATTCAATTAGCAACAATTAACTACACTTATTTTTTTCATTTTTTATTCAACTAGCAACAATTAACAACAATTACTTTTTTTCATTGTTTTATTCAATTAGTAACAATTAGCAACAATTAATTTTTTCATTTTTTTTATTCAATTAGCAACAATTAACAGCAATTAATTTAATAGATGTACTTATCTATACCCTCTACAAATGGTGGCTAAAATTTCCGGCAGAATCAATTTCTCAAAATCTGACAAAATGTTCAAACATCAAAATTGGTTTCGGAATTTTGTTATAGTTTGTTTGAGCTGGTAATTTTTCAGCATTACTTCGTCAGTCAGTTATGTGCCAGGCGATCATGTATCTTTCGACGCAGATTTTTTTCCGCAGTAGGTTGCTATTTCTTTCTGCAGTAGACCAGTTGCCATTTGATCTGTCCCGTTATTTACCCATAGAAGGGAGAGAAGAAGCGGATTCATACTTTTCCCAAGGGTATATTGGCACATAAGTAGACGTAATGGATTCGACTGGAATTCGAACTCGGCTCTCCGATTCCTCAATCCGAGCCACTATCCATTACTCCACCGTATAGAAATGATAATAGACAAAATTTCGGTGACGGTGTTGGTGGGGAATTATTTACCTTTGAACCTAGTTTCCAACGACTGATTCGATGTAGTTTACTTGCTTGTGTCTACAAAAAGCTATCAAAAGTACCTCTCATAAAAGAAAGTGACAAAAGTATCATGTCTGCATGTTGTTCAAATTATTCTAACTTTTGCGTAGGATTCTTTCTCGCACTCACTCTCTTACTCTCTCTCTCTTTCTTTCTATCTATCTATCTATCTATCTATATGTGTGTGTGTGTGCGAGCTGATTGATGATGTGTATGCATGCGTATCAATTATACCTATCTATTCTATCAATTTGGATAGGCAGATTAAAAACAAAAGAAAATAAATAGAGACAAAATCATAGCCGAAACAGGTACGCATTTCTGACCAGCCCTACGTGTTGTTTGTTGTTTCAAGACAGGCTGAGAGCTCTGTTCATGTAAACCCCTTTCTCGTATCAGGATTGGCGCAGTACAATCTTCCTATCTGGTTTCTGAACTCATTTAACCTTTAAAGTGATCGTATTTTACACGACCTTCTCTCGATAAAATACAGGCTTCCTATCCCATCGCCGTGTCGGCATTTATATGTCAACACCGACTTCTTTTGTTATGGCTTCCCAACATACCTTTTTAAGCGCGTTTAAGTTACACAGATTCAGCTGACGCTTCTCCTATGAAGGTGATACTTTTAGCCCTTTAGGTTATGTTTGAGTGCTACACGCGAAGGCAGGGCCGGTGAAAAAGGTCTCGTGAGCTCCCACCGAATCTATGATACAGAGCCTCCCATTCGATATATCAATTTTCATAAGGTAGTATTCATATGAAATACAAATTTTATTGTAACCTAATTATGTAGAATAATGGATCCTATGCAATATGATTGAACAATTAAACTAGAAAAATTAAAAATAAATACAATGTATTTAAATACACATTACTGGGATGTCATAATAGATCATTTCATTTTAAATAAATCAACACAGTTTTACGAACATTTTTTGCATCAACTTGAGATCTTATTAAAATGTTGAATAATTTTCATTTTTAACACATTATGGATTAAAATAATAGTGATTTTTTTATAGTGTTTTGGACTAAAATAATAGTGATTTTTTTATAGTGTTTTGGACTAAAATAATAGTGATTTTTTATAGTGTTTTGGACTAAAAATGAACCCAGAATGACATCAAAATCAACGAAAATTTTTCATTCATTAATACTCAGTTGTGGTGAGTTTAATTTTAAACATATATAAATGTAGTTAGAAAAAACAAACAAATGTTGATAAGATAGCAAGCATCACAATTGCACTGCCTGGGAAGGAATCAGCTGACGGCACTTGTGATGGGAATAAAAAGAAAATTACAAAGACCTAGTCGTCTGATCAAAGTCCCAAACATAAGCCATTTATTGGTAATGATAATTACTTAAATGAGGTCTTTGTTATTAGCTGTAAGTGGCTTATTTCCTTAAGACAAAAAACAAGCATAAATAAAATACGCCTCTGTGTGTAGGTGACTTCAAATGGAAAACCCTTATTATCACATAGGCTAACGGCCATACCATGTTGAAACACCAGTTCTGTACGATCATCAAAGTTGAACAACGTCGAACCTGGTCAGTACCTAGATGGGTGACCGCTTGGGAGTACCAGGGGCTGCAAGTTTGGATGTGCGGGTGGCGTAATGGATAGCGGTTCGGAATTGGAAATTCGAGTTCGAATTCCAATCGGGTTCGTTATATTCACTTAGGCGCAAATACTCTTCGGAAAGGTATCAATCTACATCCTCTCCCCTCCCCGTCACTTTGTATCAGTAAAATCTTCTTTTTATTTTTTTTTCAAAAAAAAATTCACACAATCTAAAAAATATTTTCTGGCTCTACATTACCTGCAAAAGTTTGATAAACCGTAAAAACAAATCAATCAATAAATTTTTATCATTTTAAATCATTATTCGTTACCTTCGGCAACTTGCGAACACACACACACACATATATATATATATATATATATGAAGAAATATAGTCTTAAGATGTGCTATATTTATGTGATAAAGAACTCAATATCAGAGAGAGAGAGCGTGTGTAAATATAAAAGTGAACATTGAAGTCAACACTTAGATGTGACAGGCTGTTTCATGCTAGATGCAATCGTCAGGCCTTGAGTGTTTTTGTTTTTTTTTCTTGGTTATTTATATATACGGGTTAGTGGTGCATTGTGGGTAGTCTATTTTGGCAGTTATTTTGCCGGAAGTCTTTTATTTGTTTATTTATTTGGGTTAAATTTTTTTGCTTGTTTTTATTTATTTTTATTTTTATTTCTTATCTTATATATTTATTTATTTATTTTTATTTTAATCGGTGTTTTATTAACGTAGTAAAAATTTCTTTACATCGCTTATTTAATAGTTTTGTTTTGGGAAGATAATTAAAGCTATTTATTCAATTTTGGGGTTGATTGCTGTAGTTTATTCTAACTATTATTTTGGCGGGAGCAGTTTTTAATAAATAAAAAAATAAAAATAATTAAAAACAAGCAAAATAATTTAACCCAAATAAATAAATAAATAAACAAATAAACTACTTCCGGCAAAATAACCGCCAAAATAGACTACCCACAATGCACCACTGACCCGTATATAAATAGCCGAGAAAAAACAACAACACTTGTGGCCTGACGATTGCATCTAGCATGAAACAGCCTGTCGCATCTAACGATGACTTCAATGTTCACACACACACACACACACACACACACACACACACACACACACACACACACACATATATATATATATATATATATATATATATATATATATATATATATATGCTTACGGCTACAACACGTTGAAACACCGGTTTCTGTACGATGTTGAGCCTGGTCATTACTTAGATGGCTGACCGCATACTAGGTGTTGTAATCTTGACTGTTCGGGTGGTGTAATGTTAATGGCTCAGAATTGTTAATCAGAGAGCAGAGTTCCAATTCTCGCTGGGGTCGTTATATTCACTTACACGCAAATACAATTGGGAAATGTATAAATCCCCTTCGTACACCCACCTATGGGTTAATTAGTAAGACTTGTTGCACTAAACTACTAGTAACTAAAAAAATCTTACAATCTAAAAATATTTGCTGACTTTGAATAACTTGTCAAGGGTTGATAAGCCGTAAAAAAATCAATGTATCTTTTTTTTATTTTATTTTATTTTTTACTAATTCAATGGAAGTTACTAGGTAGCATTGTCGAGCGATCTGGTTAGTAAGGCTCGCCTACTAGATCAGTTACGACTGAATAGTGTGTTTAGTTCTCACAGGGCGCTCAGTAATTTTGTCCTTGTGCCTATCTAACCTACTCTTAGTTACTCGCTACTACATAGCTTCGTCGGTATCCTTCTAGGGACAGTGAAGAGGAAAATTGTTGTTTTAACATTACCTCACGATATTAAAATAAGACGTTGAAAAGTACATTTTTTTAATGAAAGTTATCTCTTTTTTTTCTTTTTCATGAGACAAACTTTTTCAAGTTCTTAATCCAAACCCCAGTAGCGTCAGTTTAAATTCATACTTTATTTTTTCCATATGTTGTGATCATTTTGCTTAAATCTACTGATATTTTGAATTCCACATGTAAAAAGGGATGATTTTCAACATATTTCAGTTAAATATCTACTTTCCCTAATTAGAGTTTATAATTATAATTTAGATAAGTTAAAAAAAAAGGAGTTAGTTTAAACAGACGTCAGGGTGAATATAGGTTAAAGTGTATTTGACACAGGAAGAGAATACGTACAGATCCAATCACAATTCACCAATATTCATATGTAAACTTGACACATTCTTTTTTTCATATATTGTGACCATTTTCCTTAAGGTTTGTATTTTCTTGTTTTCAAAAGAAAACTTGGAAATTTTCAAATTTATTTCAGTAAAATTTTCCCTTTCCAAAAATATAGTTTTTATAATTACGGTTTCGATATGTGGAAATGTGACGGAGAGCCGAGTTCGAATCCATTACATTCACTTACATGATAATACCCTTGAGAAAGGTATGAATCCTCTCCTAAGCTATGGCAAATAGCAGGACAGACCGGGTTCTATAGCCTTCTATGGCAACTGGTCTATCGCAGAAAGAAATGGCAACCTATTGCAAAAAAAAAAAAAAATCTGCCTCGTCAGTCATGTATCGAAAGATGCATGATCACCTAAGCGTATATCACGCATGACACATAACTGGCTGATATGTAAATGTAAAGAATTTTAATTTTAAACTGATGATGATCGTAAACAGGTCTACTGTCTGGATTGTCAGTTTGTAAATATTGATTGAGATATTCCATTCGGCTAATTAAGCAAATGATGTTTCTTTACCTTTTTAGCAGTTATTAGGTTGATGCAAAAATAATGACGTAATAATGTCGTTTTTTGACGTATTTTTTAAGGTCAAAAAACGACATTATTACGTCATTATTTTTGCACCAACCTAATAGTTTTCAGTAATTGATTCTTATTTAATATGTTATTGTTTTGCTTTTTTGATATTACAAAACAGAAGCATTGCATTTACGGCAATGAAATTAAATTCTTTAAAATTTATCCATACTGCGAGATTTACACCAATCGATCTTATACGAATTTTAAAAGTTTTAAACGTGCATTTTTTGATCACTGTATGAAATATGAAGTTGGGTAAAACAAAATGATTAAAACATATTTTCTTTCATTTGAATATTTTTTTAAATTAATGTTTGAAATTTGTTAATTTTTGCAAATTAAAATTTCAAGTTCATCTTTGAAAAGAAAGTCCATAAAATTAATGTAGAATTATTTTTAAAGATTGCGCTCAGGTTTTTCCAATTTTGGTGCTAGTTTGAATATCTGACCAACACAGCGTGTGTAGATTTTCGGTTTGGGGTGTTTTTATGTTGTTTTTTTTTAATTTAATTTTCTAGAGATGACATATAAAACTCCGCTAATGTTGGAGCGATAGGTGATCCTATTCCTATGTATCTTGGCATGGGGATAACGACCACAGATATGATGAAGGTGGCTTTCAACAATCTGACGGTCACCACTCGGTGTTAACGTCAGTGTCAACTTCTATACACGCTCTATTTCTGGTATTGAAACATAAATATAGCATACCTTTAAACTCTCTCTCTCTCTATATATATATATATATACATATATATATATGTGTGTGTGTGTGTGTGTCTAAAAATTAATATACAACTAAAAAATATATCTGTAAAAAACTTAACCGTATCTGTCAATTTTGACTAAACATTATCTCTTTCCGTCTGTTCATATCTATCTATCTATCTATCTATCTAATTCTGTTCCTTATCTAATTCTATTCATTATCTATCTATCTATCTATCTATCTATCTATCTATCTATCTATCTATCTATCTATCTATCTCTTTCCGTCTGTTCATATCTATCTATCTATCTATCTATCTATCTATCTATCTCTTTCCGTCTGTTCATATCTATCTATCTATCTATCTATCTATCTATCTCTTTCCGTCTGTTCATATCTATCTATCTATCTATCTATCTATCTATCTATCTATCTATCTATCTATCTCTTTCCGTCTGTTCATATCTATCTATCTATCTATCTATCTATCTATCTATCTAATTCTGTTCCTTATCTAATTCTATTCATTATCTATCTATCTATCTATCTATCTATCTATCTATCTATCTATCTATCTATCTCTTTCCGTCTGTTCATATCTATCTATCTATCTATCTATCTATCTATCTATCTATCTATCTATCTCTTTCCGTCTGTTCATATCTATCTATCTATCTATCTATCTATCTCTTTCTGTCTGTTCATATCTATCTATCTATCTATCTATCTATCTCTTTCTGTCTGTTCATATCTATCTATCTATCTATCTATCTATCTATCTATCTATCTATCTGTCTATCTATCTATCTATCTATCTATCTAACTATCTATCTATCTCTTTCCGTCTGTTCATATCTATCTATCTATCTATCTATCTATCTATCTATCTATCTATCTATCTCTTTCCGTCTGTTCATATCTATCTATCTATCTATCTATCTATCTATCTATGCAAGTAGGTTTCAGCATAGTACAGTCTCTTCATTCCTTCCTTTATCTCACTCTCTCTCCATATATATATATATATATATATATATATATATATATATATATATATATATATTGAGAGAGAGAGAGAGAGAGAAAGAGAAAGAGAGAGAGAACAATCTTTTTATACCTGTTTCGTTAAATATGTCGGACAAGGAATACCTTGTGATTGTTTTTGTAAGTTTTATTGTCCTTGCAAGTTTTAAACTGAGTCAGTCTCTCCTCCGTGGATCTCTGCTTTGCAAGCTTATCCCACAGACCATTACTAAAGAGAATTCGATCCTCACCAAGTACTGTCCAATTATGACGATATACCGTGTTAGCTAAAAAAAATATTGTTTTTGGGTTCAGAGCAACAAATACTTTCGCATTTTTTTTTAGATTAGACATCACTCGCGTGACTACGGAATTCCGAAAACTCGCCTCATTAATGCTGAAGCTAATTTTAATTACTGCTAACGGATCGTTAAATAACAACACTACATGATATTTTTTCTCTTATGAAGTATTTACATTTTAGTATGTAATCG